TCTCTCTCTCTCTCTCTCTCTCTCTCTCTCTCTCTCTCTCTCTCTCTCTTTCTCGCTCTCTCTCCATCTTTCTCTTCCACTCTCCCTACATCTCTCTTTCTACTATAAGTTTTATTTTTATCTGTTGCTCCATGCACTTTTCGTACTCTTTCCTGTTCTGTAGGGGAGATTTCACTACTCCTCTGCTATCGACACCAAAAAACATTCAGGGGTCAGTTGTACAATGTTGTTCTACAGCGACGGTACCTGAGCACGCTAGTGATGGGAATCGATTGGAATTTCATCATCGATCATCGGTTGCACCCAACCGATCGATGATCGAAGATATTTGGTTGAATGTTATTGATCGCGGCCACCAGATATTGAAATATATCATATATCTTATAATACATTACACTTGCTTGTGTTTGGTTAATATTTAAGCTGTAAAGTAACAACAAAACAAAAAATGAAATAACAAAAAAATAAAGAAAAAAATAAATAAAGAAATAATGAATAAAGAGTCATTTCATCAATGTTTGTACTTTTTTTTTTTTTTATTAAAAATTTTTGTATAATTGATTATTGATTTTCATAATCGAGCGCTTAGACGGTTGCTGCAAATGACTCACTTTCGATTATAATTGATCATCGGGACGTCACTAGCGCACGCCGTCCCCCGTTCCCGTTCCCGTCGCCGCCGGGCCGCGCGTCATGCAGTGTCACGGCTGCGTGTCGTGATGGCGCAGTGTGCAGCGTGACGCGCGTCACAAAGCCCTGTCATGATGGCGCGGCGTGCGTCACAACGCCCTGTCATGATGGCGTGGCGTGCGTCACAACGCCCTGTCATGATGGCGCGGCGTGCGTCACATAGCGTCATGACAACATGGTGTGCAGTGTCGTGTGCCACACAGTGGATGACCTCCCGTCATGACGGTGTTGTGCTGTCATCCATCGCACGGTTAGAAGTTAGATAGTGTGTGTTTTTTTGCTAGTCAGTCAGCTTAGTTACCTGATAAGCCCACTGACCATCCGCCAAATGATCTAGGCAACATTTTTTTTAGCAAGGCGAGTGCACGTGCACGCCCTTTTTAGGTCCAGTCGTGGTTTTTTGAATTTGAAAATTAGTAAGTTTAGTTTAAAATCTGCTAGCCTCTGACTAGACACCAAGTGGGAACTTCATGCCCAGTATTGTGTAGTAACGGATGCACTTGGCGATCCTATCTCACGGCCTCTGTACATCACCAACATTATATGAAATGGGGTAGAACAAAGTATAACGTATGTATGCGTGCGTGCCTGCATGCGTGCGTGTATGTGTGCGTGCGTGCGTGCCTGCGTGCCTGCGTGTGTATGTATGTGTGTTTGTATATATATATTGTAGTCGCTGGATAATTTCTGCTGCCAGACAACTGTGCGCTATAGCTGTGTACGTGCTATGTGCGCCGTGAAATGGGTGCACAATTGTAGTGTAATTGTGTGTAATAGCAGGAGTAAAATTAGAATAGAGGGATGTAGTTCACAACTGCCGCTTCACCGTATATTATTTACTCACTAAAAGCATGTACAAATTACACAGGGTAAAAATTAAGGTTGCGCGCTACACAGTAAATTTAGAAACAGACGAGGGTGAGAGCGAGAGCCTCGTGTCTCTCATGCGGGCTGTTTTATACCCCCTCTTGCAAGATGAGCCGCGATGCCACTACCAAATATGCTTCTACCAATCACTGCTGGCTACAGGGAAGGCATAGGGTCCTTATTAGCGCCTATGGACAGTTCTAAGGTGATGACGGAATGAATGGCCATTGGCGAGTCGGGGTGGAGATGTTTTACGCCCCATCGGCCACGTAGATGGCCGACGGGGTATGACGTAGGGCTGATGGCACATTGCGGCAATTTAATGATAGAGGTGATATAGAGATAGCTTTAGATGTGTAATGTGTGGGTTTAAGATGCAACGGCACGAAAAGACGACCCGCGCTAATGGGCAGTAATGTGGTTATAGTGTCCGGTTTGCAATAAAGCTATAGCGCAAACTACATGTGGCTAGTGTGCAGCGTGAAACTAAACCCTGTGAAAGCTAACGGTGTGTGTGCGGTTGCACCCCGGTTGTCTATTAGCAGCTGTTTTGTCACTTTTGTGTCCAGCAGTCCGGAGATATAGATTGTTGCTTCTAGCCATGCAGCTGGTATGGTGTAAAATTAGCATGTGTGTGAGCTGGTATTGGATGCTTTCGCGGAATGACATTAGCGTTGCTACAATATATATCAAGAGTAAATAATAGGGGGATCTGCTTATGATTTACGCCTGATATATATATCGATTATCCGATTATATATCTGATTATATATCGATTATCCGATCGAGGCGGGCGGGGAGTATTTTGTTCGGATAACTGATGGTCTAGTAGCTAGTATAGTGGCTTATTAAATATTCACAGGACCTTGAGATCTTGTTCGGATAATCCGAAATTCGGATAATTGATGTTCGGATAACCGAGGTTTGACTGTGTACCATGCATGGTCCAGGCCTCGGCTACATACACGCTCGCGCGCCGGCGTTTGTCTGAACTGTCTGTGTTGTTGTTCGTGCAGATCCGGCGGAGATGGACCTGATCAACAGCGTGTTCATCTTCGTCAAGGAGCTCTACGTTGTGCAGCTCACCGACATGGAGACCGCTCTCTTCGCAGCCACCATCCTCCTCTCGCCGAGTGAGTACCGCGGAGCCACCTACCGGCCACGGCGCGGCGGTTTCTGTAGCACTTGCGCAGCTTTTTCGTTTCGTTCTCTGTTGAGGAAAAATTTGGTTATTGCATGAATTTTTTCAAGGTCACGTATGACTTGAACGTGTGACGTAGAGGATGGCTGAGGATCTAGTTTTGGGAATTGCAAGCTAATAAATTCTTGGAACCTATCTGCAAAACCTGCCGAAAAATCAAAACCGGTCATCTACGCGAGTACGAAACCATAAACTTAGTAGAACGATCAGTTTATGATCACTCAAAGTGTTTCAAAGTTTCGTTCAGTCGTACTGAACAGTATAAGAACTCATTTTTCACGAGGACAGTTTATGAGTGGAATCACCTTGACTCCTTGAGGAAGCACTCATCTCTGCTGAAGATCCTGACACCTTTCAATCTGGCGTCAAAACTCGCCAGTAACGTCTTCCAGCCTATTAAAATTAAAATTAAAATTCGCCTATTGAGGCTTCTCAACGTGCTCATCAAGATCAAGATCAAGACTTAGTCTTTTGAGATTGTTATCCATGTAGAAGTCTGCTTCAGATCTAATATTCCCGCATGAAAATTGGACCGAGACTGTTTTGGTTTTGTCTTCCTACTATTACAAAGTTTTATGTGTGATGCATACTGAATGTAACAACTTAGTTAAAACTAAATAATATTATAGAACTGGTATATTACATATCTTATGGTGTAATAATTTAAGACACTTGGTTTTGAGTCGAGTTATAATTCGATTCAGATGTAATACTATCAGGGTATAAGTAAATCAAATTATGATTGAATGTTAGGTTTTTTGGAATGTTAGGAATTTTGGGTTTTTAATTAATTGATGAGTCGACATTGCTCATGTGTTTGCTCATCGCAGCATGCAACATTAAGATATTAATTAATTATTATTAATTGGGTATTAATAGTTTTAATCATAATTTATTATCATGTTAATTGGTTGTTAGTCTATAATTTATTGACGTTATTGCATCTATGTTACAGCGCTAAGCATTATGATATTAATTCATTATTATTACATAATAATTATAAGTTGTTACATTTATTCTGTTGTTGATTGCATGTTACAGCATGGGACATTATGCAGATTTGTGTATAGTGATTATTAATTATTAATCATATGCTAATTACTGTGTGCCTTGCAGCGTAGAAAATCTTTATATTTTTATATAATTATTAATGATTAATTATGCGCTAATTGCTGCACTGTGATACACATTATATTAATCCTTATATAATAATTATTAACGATTTAATTACATGCTAACCGTTGCATTGGGACACTACATTATATGTTTACTTACTAATTTCTAGCGATTAATTGCGTGCTAATGATTATCTGCTGCAGCGCGGGACGGCCTGCAGGACCTGGGCATGATAGAGGGCCTGTACGAGCGTGTCGTCGGAGCGCTGAAGGATGAGCTGTACAAGCGACACTCGAACGATGACACGCTCACGAAGCTGATGCACCTGACAGCCGAGCTGCGCGCGATCAGCAGCAAGCACGTGCAGGTGCTCTCCAAGTTCCGCATGATGCACCAGCACCTCGAGTTCCCCGCGCTGCACAAGGAGCTCTTCTCGCTGCCTGAATGATGACGGAGTCGCGGCGGCGGCGGGCAGGGGGCGCCGCCGCTGCCGTCGTCGTTCCGTAGTCCATTCTCAGCCGTTGTATTGTATTTATTGCGGCGGCCGCCGCCGCCACGAGCAGAGCGGGGGGTGCGGCGGGTTGCGCGGAGCGGCGTCATCGAAGCATTTGCATCTGTATATTATATCATCGCCGCGACCGCGGGCCGCGGCGCGGGCCACGCGGGAGCCCGTGAAATGTAGATAGTAGCTCGCCGAGTTCCATCATTCCATCCCTTCATCCCACCGGCCGCCGCGGCCCGGCCGGCACGCAGTCGCGTGCGCGCCCAACCGCTAGGTGGCGTCACGCGTGAGTGTCCGTCGTCGCCGCGGCAACCGCGCTCATTGCATTTCATTATACAGCGTTGTAGTGTTCGGCGAGGAGGATGAGCTATAGCTAGATCGTCGTACGCCCGTAGCTTTTAGTCGAGAAACCTGTCGCGGAGATTAAACGCGGCACGTCGCCGCCATCGCCGAATAGCGCCGCGCGTCCGTGTGCGGCCGGGGAACCAGTAGAGGGCGTCACCGCGGGGCGGAGTCGTCGTCGTCGCGAGGCTTGCCCTCATAGTTCTCTCGCTGCTGCGTCCTCCGCCGTCACCGGTGTCGCGGCACGTTCTGCGCATTTGAACCCAGTTTAGCCTAGCCACACTCGAATGTACCGCTCCCTAGAGGGCGCCGCCGCTCGTCGCCGGGATGCGAGGGCGTGCGTGTGCGTGGTTGCCAGGCTAGAGCAGGCTGCATGTACACAGCTACACTGTATCCCACACGGTTCACGACTAACCCTTAGTTGCCTTCCGATTGCGAGCGCCGACACACGCCGGGCGAAGCGTCGGCGCCGTCGCCGTGGAAACGGGAGGACGTTACCGTGGAAACGCGAGGATGGCATCGTCGACGCGCGGCGGCGGCATGCATCGGCGCTCGCGAGACTCAGGAAAAAAAATGAGGAAAAGAAACGAAGTCTATTTTCTAACGCTAACGTTTTTTCTACTGCTCGCGTCTTCCTGCCTTTATCTGACTGACTACCTACTATACCTGTACCTGCCAACAACGCCGCGTGCGTATCACGGGGGGAGCAGCACCACGCCGCTCCCTTCCCCATGACAACTACCTACTACTACTCACTACTGTTTACACACCTTTCTGACGAACGATTACTTGATTACTAATTACTCGTCGTGCTCATGGTGCGCAGGGGGTGGAGGAGGGGCTTTATTCTTCGCGAACCAGAGACGATGATCAGGGGGGGAGGGGAGGGGAGGGGGGGGGGGGGAGGGGAGGGGAGGCGTCTGGTTATTTTTGATACATTCACATTTCGAGTTTTGTGTTGTTGACTCTTTGCGTGTTAGGAAGTGGTAACGAGCTACCTCGAATACCAGGCACGACCAAGCGACGCGTGGGTTTTTTTCGTACAGTGGTTGGCGATGCATGATGATGTTAGCATGGACGATGACGATGACGATGACGATGCTGGTGATGATGTTGAAGATGATAATGATGATGATGATGATGATGATGGTAATGATGATGATACTGCTTATAATGATGACATTGACGAAAATGATGGTGATGGCAGTGGTGATGATGACGATGACGACGACGATGATGTTGATGGTGTTCCGCTTGATCGTGCCTGGTGCTTAACTACCTCACTTGTTCGTTACACTATGCAAGTTTCCAGTGTATTTGGGTAGGTGGGGGTGCATTTTAATAACGAGCCGATTTTATGCTGGTTAATGATCTATTGTTGTTCCTACTAAACCTGCCCACTGCGCCTGCAGTCTCGCGCCTGGGGACTAAATTGTGTCATTGTAGAACTGCTTTGTGTCAGTTTACACCCTTATATAGGTTATGTATATATATTCATATACATACACATATACATATGTATTGCTTCTTCTTGTTGCTGATTCAATGGGGATCAAGGAGCAGCAGCAACGGCGAGTGAGCGTTAGCGGCATAGGTGGCGCCACCAGCGCTGCTGCAAACAGGTCAGCTTGGGCGTGTGCGCGTGGCGTGATTTTTAGAGAGCAGGAATCGTCGATTTTATAGAAGTAGTTTTCAGCGAGGAGTGAGCACACGCACACGTACCATGCACGGACGCACATTCGCCTGTACCACGAATGGAACAACTGTCGATAAATCGTCAAGCGTGCGATTTCGATTGGAAATCTAATTTGAATTTGCAATCAACTAGATTTAGTTAGTTTTTTTTAAAGTCGTTTGCATTACGTCGTGCTTTGTCGTATAAGTTTTTTTTGAGTTTGTGTAATACCCTTATGAAAAACGCAAGTAGAATGGCCCATGTTTTCATATATATGTGTGTGTATATACATATATGTATATGTATGTACACAATTGTGGTTTCTAGGAGTTGTTTCTCGTTGGCTTATTCCCTCTGTAAGTTCTCTGATGTGTGCGCGAGTCGTGTTGTTGTGAAATTGTTTCGGGGTCCCCTCTCTATTTTCTCACGTCATCCAAAATATCATGCTATGCGATCGGCAATTCTGAAGCCAGCATGCCCTGCCCCCTCTCTCACTCTCTCTCTTGTTCTCTCACTCTCTCTCTTGTTCTCTCACTCTCTCTCTCCCTCTCTCATTCTCTTTATCCTTTCATGTACCTCTGCCCTCTTTCGCTCCTTTCTCTGCCCTTCTCTCTCTCACCCAGCTTGGTGAAGTATATCTTTGGACACAGCATAAGAATTTTTATTCGCCACAAATTCGTCTTTCTTTCTTCCCACTCGAGGGTTGCTACGAATCGTATGTCGTTCACTCTTCGGTGTTCGTACGAGTCCAGAAAACCTGGCAATACCTGGTATCTTAAAATCACGTCTTCCGGGTCTAGCAAATCCTGGGAAACCGTCTACAGTCCTGTAAAGGCTCTTATTATGTTTGTACTTGGAATATCCCGGAAATTCGTCACATGTGTATTGTCAGTATTGTGTCCGTATTTTACAAATGATAATAAGTTGTAATAATGAGTTTAATATACTGAAGATATATCCCTGTGTACTGATTGAGATGCCATAAAATTTAGGTCAGCGTTTGCTCACTAATTATTAAATGGAAGGTACCATGTAAAAAGATTGCATTTAGCTCAAATCTTGAGTCCTGGTAATATCCTGAAAAATCCCTGAAAAAAAGCATGTGCTGTAGCTGTACGATCCCTGCCTTAAGTCGAAGTTCTCTCTCTCTCTCTCTCTCTCTCTCACTCTCTTCCGCCCTCCCCCTCTCTCTCTCCCTCTTATTCTCTGAATCTGCTTTGCTGTCGCGAGCTTTGTTCCTACCCACTCGGTGACATTGACTCGCACCTATCGTTGAGTCTCTCCATTCTCCGACCGAGTTGGTGACAAGGCTTTCGACGCGGGTAACCCCTGGTGGTTGATCGACGGTCCGATTCTTGCTCCGCACGCACGTGCTGTCTTTTTCTTCTGAGAGGGGAGGGGGCGTAGCGACCGTCTTTGTATATATTCTCAGGTGTCTTGGTAGTGTCAGCACAGCAGTCATCTCAGGTATCTTGTTACACACACGCACGCACACACGCACACGCTTGCGCGTCTGTCTGTGTGTATGTGTCTGTCTGTGTGTGTGTGTGCGTGCAGCCTCGTCTGCCTGTCCTGTCAGACAAGCGGCAAACGGCATCTCGTGCCGACCACGTTATCACCAGCAGGGGGCGCCATGCCGTCAAATCAGCCTCGTACGATTATCCATATAGCGGAGCGATCTTTCGCCGTGAATTCGTTGTAGAAATTCGTTTTTTCGACGAACGAACGCGTTAGAACACAGAAAGGGTAACGAACAATCCGAGTGACGTTTTCCTCGCTCATTCGGGCGCCCTCTGGTGGTGACGTCTTGGGCAAGCAGGCGACGCTATGGACTATTTTTTAGCTATTGTAGCAAATAGTGAATGTACTTTTTTCGTAAGGTTTTCCAGCCGTTTCTTAGCGTCGTTTTAAGGGATGCAGAGTGTTTATAGTATTGCGTCCATATATTAATGGGAACCGGGGGGGGGAGGGGAGGGGAGGGGAGGGAAGGGGGTAGGTAAAAGCCTGATGGAGTGCGCTCATGTGTATATGTGCATGTGAACATAGGACTAGGTGTTATTTTTGCATGTACCTCGCGTGCACAGAAATCTACATCTCTCTACACAGTGTAAAATGTATGTATGTAGCATAATATGGCTAATATTTTTTTCTCGGATAGTTTCTCGCCCACAGTGTTCCCTCCATACTATGTCCCCACATACTATGTCCCCCATGCTATGTCCTCCCATGCTATGATGTATGTATAAGAGCCGGTATAAGGTCGTGTCAGCGGTCATAGAGCAATCGCGACTCTTCCACGAGGTTCTAAGATAGATGTATAACGTGTATATATATATATGCATATATATATATATATATATATATATGTATGTACGTATTTATATATAATCGTATTTTAAATCATCGATACGTTTATACAAGGAAGAACATTAAATTTGCGTGCGAATGGCAGCGACAGTGGTGCGCAAGCCAATGAAACATGATCTAGAGACCGAGTTTTGTTTTCCGATGTTCAGACACGCCTTTTAATTTCTTCTTCGCTTAGTTCTTCGCGTGCGCTGATAATGACAAAGACAAATATTTTACTGTTAACAAGCATATAGGGTTTTACACATATGAGACATTGATATTTTTGTTGAGTGGTGACAGACAGTCAGCCAGCTGATATGAAATCAGGCATATAGCTATATGAAATTTGTAAATATATCTCTCTGTTATGATGTTGTGCTATATTGCCTGTCCATCCCCCTGATCAGATCCCTTAGTGGTTTTATTTGCTTATTATACTGTGTTTAGAACTGTTTTTTGCAAAATATGGGTGGAAATGGTGGAGGCAAGGGTTAAACCATTAATACTGTGTCGATACGTGTTGTTATGTTACGCAGTGTAACACATGATGGGCGCCCGTATGCCACGGAGCGCACACCGTCTGCTGCTGTGACATTCTGTACCCGCTAGAACCACTAGATGGCGCCAGAGTAGGAAGCCGGTCGACTCGTGGGAACGTGCGTTGCACAGCGGTATTGTCGTTGTCACGGTAACGGTGCTGTTGCGGTGGCCTTTTTCAGCGGCTGTTGCCCGTTTCTAAATTTGAATGCTAGATGGCAGCACTTGATTACGAAGGACGTTACAACTCCATAATTTCGTGTTAAAAGCCCCTTTCGGACCGATATTCATATGATTATAGGAGAACCAACCATCCAGACATCATTCGCTCCCCAGTTCGGCCAACGTTAACGTGTTTCCATTTACTTACTACGGGACCTAGTAATCCTCGGACACCGGAGCAATTAATCTCGATATGTGATTAACGCAGCAGCCACGCGCACGGAACCTGCCGTCAAACCAAAGCGGTTAATAGTGTGAGCTGTATGCGCACACACGCGTATAGGACACATCCTGTGTGGGGTACTACACACAGCACACTGAGAGCACTGCCGTCAGTCCGGCTCTCGTGTCTGGCTATCACACTTTTCCCACGAATTCTTGCCGCTCATGGTCAGAAATGGCAATATCGGTCGAGTTAAAAAATGCCATGACTTTTTTCATTGGTGTGTTACGCAAAAATTATGTTATTTTATACTCGTGACAGGTATAATTGGTCTGTCGTTTCGTCGTCTTTTAACGATAGCGTGGATCGTGCTTACGGTGACATCAACGAGCCTTCATGCGCGTGCGCGTTCCCACGTCATGCGACCGCCCTCCTAGAACTCGCAAACCGACTACACGGTGACACTGCGGCACAGGTGCTGCCCTCTGCTGTATACTGGCACTGGTACATATAGGCATCATGTTGTTATAAAATATACATTGTTAGAGGAACGTCTTCTTGTGTTTTTTCTCTGTGCATCATTAACTCTCCGCTTAAAGCCGGACTGTGAACTGATAATATATACACGATCTACGTAAGTTAATCTAACACGAAGGGTTCCACATTGCATAAATAATGATTTTTTATTATCAAACGACTTGCAAAATTATAAGCAATGACGCTTTCACATTGCGGTTCAACACTTGGTTTAATCATAATCATAAACAAACATCAAACTGTACAAATTTCGTAAATACGCTATCCTGGTACAGCGAGGAAACCTTTTATTTTTATTTATAAACTATTTTAATTGTAATTTCCCGTCATTTACTTCAAACGTGCACTTACGCATTTAAAATCACGAAATCCATCCACGCTCGATTGACATTGTTTTCTTGATTATACAGTACATTTTCGCGCAGCAAAGTAATAGGAATGAGAAACACCACTGGCCTTTCCGTGAATCGTAAGCTATATTCTATACGTATATACAGGCTATATTATCGAGGCGGGGGGGGGGGGGGGCGTCTAACGATCCATCACTCGCAGCAACGTGTCATGTCCTCGGTCTACCACATATGCGTCTTAGGTCCCCTAGGACCTAGCTACAACCAAACCACGCGTTTGGATGCAATCACCACGCGCGGTTATTTTCTCCGCTCGTCTCAGTCGCTGTCCGAGCCCGCCTCCTCTGCAGCTCCTCCTCCTCCCTCCGGGGTCTCCACCTCTCCTGCGCCTTCCTCATCACTAGCCTTACTTCCTCCTCCTCCTCCTCCTCCACCCTCCTCCTCGTTGTCTTCCTCATCGTCGCTGTCCACTAGCATTCGCGAAGTCTTCTTCTTCTTCGGTGCATCGTCACTGCCGGACGACTTTCTCTTGCGCTTTGCAACGTTCTGCAAGAGAGGCATAACATGTGCATGCATTTTTAGAGCAGCAAGGATTGCCGACGTGGCAGCCCGACAACAAATTATTCACATCTACCGGCTGCTCGACTCAACAACAAATATAATAATTATATTCATATCACTACTACTGCTGCTACTGCTACTACTACTACTACTACTGCTACTGCTGCTGCTGCTGCTACTGCTGCTACTACTACTACTACTGCTACTGCTGCTGCTACTGCTACTACTGCTACTGCTACTACTACTGCTACTACTGCTACTGCTACTACTACTTATTATTATTATAGATATTATTATCAATAATAACTGGTTACTATATAATTGAAGCAGTTTTAAAAAATGATTTTAACTTGGGGAAAAACACCGAGAAAGATATTTACTGATAACAAAACTATATATGATGAACTCACAACATAATGTGAATGTGCGCACTGCGCCAGCTCACTCCCACCACCACACGATACCATACACTCCTACCGCATAACGCTAATGCGTGTATCAAATCTAAATGCTTTCTCTTCTTATATTCAAGCCATTATATCATCATGAGGCTAAAGCGCGGCGCACACGTGGCGATTTAATCGCCACGTGTCGGGACCCGGCGACAATGCAACGATCTGTCGGCCAACATACTGCTGCATTGTTCGATTTGTTTCATGAGTGTTCAGCGACTCGGCAACAAAATATCAAACATGTTTGAATTCCAGCGACGAGTGTCTGCGTCAAAATCGCCACGCCATGCAGCGCACACGTGGCGATCTCTCAGTGATTCTGTCGCCGGCAACAAAATCGCCATTACTAGCGATAAAAATCGCCACGACTGTGCGCTGGCTTAAGGCTACACATGAGTCCATTGCGAACTGGTAACTCAACTCACATCATCCCCTCGCTGTCCAAATTGTGCGCGTCCTCCTTCTCCTTTCTGCTTTCGTCGCTGTCTGATGAGTAAGCATGGCGGACGATCCCCTCACCACAAGCAAGTCATGCACAATATCAAATATGGCCCACAGCTACCTCCATTGAGTGCAAATGATATCTCAATATAAATAATATCACAATACAATGTCACCTCGTGACCTTCTTTAGTTTATGAATCTTGGATTCAGAATACGCGACATTTATTCAGATTCATATAAGATCAATATGAATGTAATCTAGCATCAGAGCTACAGCAACCAACGTCACGAACTACACTGACTTACAAGCTACGCACCTTGCACGTCGTAAGCAACGTGAAAGCTATGAGGCAAGTAGTGCCGTAAACTAACCACGCAATTGAACCTGGTAAGCCAGTCCACGCATTTCTATTAATTACTAAAATCAGAGTGATATTTAAAGTGATTACGTCACGCGTAAATAATAATATAAAAAAAATGAGTGCCCACTTTTCACAAAATATAACTAATTCTGTTCACTTTTTATGGTTAAATTGCTGCATTATACTTCTTATTTACTATATTGTTTGATGTGAAATACACTCGTGACGCATACATAGCCCATAGCAAGCAATTAATGTCAGACATCTAATATCAAATCGTCCAGGTTTTTTGATTTTGAACTAGTTGAGAAACAATCTTATCAGGTAAGAATTTGTCGATACGTTTAGTCCGTTTGTTCTTACTTTAATGTAAAAAAATGGCAACAAAAATTTTACAAATTTTACCATAGAAAATTCGTAGCGTAGTCAATTTAAATATATACAAGAAAACTTAATAATTTCAAGCGTAACGCCGGTTAAAAGCATCTTTGGAATGACGTTCCTAACAAAAAGAAACTCCGGTAAAGAAACCTAAATGTCACACGTGGCGCACCTACCTCGACCTTTCTTGTTCGACTTGTACTTGTTCTTGATGGCAGCTAGCGAGATTGCGCCCTCGTCTTCCTCGTCCTCATCGTCATAGTGATCAGGCTCGGGTAGGAGGCTGTGAGGCGGCCGCTGCCATGAAGCTTCTCTTTATGCGTCGCTGCTGATTCTCACGTCGGATGGACGCACGCAAACGCTCCTCCTCTTTCTGCGAAAGAGTAGTGAGCATGCGATGATTATGCTGCACGCAACAATTGATTGACTGATTGATTGATTGATTGATTTTGCTGCACGCAACCTATCGCCTCCCTTGTTGCCTCCCTTCTATCGCCTCCCTTGTTGCCTCCCTTCTATCGCCTCCCTTCTATCGCCTCCCTTGTTGCCTCCCTTCTATCGCCTCCCTTGTTGCCTCCCTTCTATCGCCTCCTTCTATCGCTCGCATGAATATGAGCATATAAGAACGATTTATATGCTGCATGCACCATA